TGTCAAATCGAGAGTAGGTGGTCGTACGGGCTGTACTGGTACCGCTTCCTGAATTTTGCGATGCGTAAAGGCTGGCTGTTCAGCCTTCTCCTTAGCCGCGATCACCATCTCTAGCTCCTTTATAAATGACGTCGTTAGCAGTACTCTGTTATATTGTAGCAGTCGTTGACAGTCTAGGGTCGTACATACCTCTCCCCAAACCTTTGGTGGGATGGCTTGGACCCTAACTACGTCCATGTTGCCACTCTTATTCGCCTCAATAATGATATTGCGTGCTTCCTTGTGTACATCCATCGTTGATCTAGTCTCAACCATATGGGACGGGTAACTGAGTTCGAGTGTATAAAGTGAAGTTCAATGTTCAGAAGATGCTTTTCTTTTCACGAAGAAAAATTATGATGATTGAATAATTAAAAACTCTTTAAGAGAGGAGACGGTGTCTCCTTGAATAAAAATCGGCCGGGTTCTGGCCTCCTGGGATATGCTGGTACGCTGCCTTATATAAGGCTCGAATGCGTGCTGCATATACTTCTAAGTCGTTGCGCGGTTCCTCTCGTCTCTCGAGGGCCTGCCAAAGTCGTATATTGTCCGTTACGATAATCTTCCTCGCACTCTTATCGATGAAGTCTATCGCAGACTTGTATCTCGTTAGCAGCTTATAAGCGCCTTGTATTTCCTTGTACGATGCTAAGTTTGTCGATGTCTTCGTTAATGGAATCGACTCTGCCATAACTTTCTGATTGTTGTACGTTACCACCATCCCAGCTTGCGTATCTGATGCGTCGACATATATCGTTATCGTATTGCCCTTAGAGGGTCTTATTCGTTCGATTTCCCATGGGGAGTCGACTGCATCTATTAAATCTCTGACCACGTTTGTTACGTGTTTCGTCTTTAGTAATATTTGACGTATCTTCGTCAACGAGTTTCGAACGCCCGTCCTATGGATCATCTTATAATAGGATAATTGGTGCGTCGCTCGCGTTATACCATCTACACATTCTGAACGTAGTAATTTTCTAATCTGTTCAGCTTTGTCTTTGGGTATTCCAATAGACTCTTTAGTGAATTCGTAACCGAGTATCACTAGTGTAGTATTCGTAGATGACTTCTCTTTATTGATTTTGAAGCCATACTCGCGTAGGTGACGTATCACTCTACCGTATCGGTCGAAACATTCTTTTCTATCATCCCCGGCTACTATTATATCATCTTGATAAGACCTTACGTGTGTCTTATCAATATCGAGTAGCTGTCCCAGCACTTTCATCATTACGACCGCGAAGTGCTTAGGGGCACACATTGCACCCATAGGCATGCGCATGTATCTATACGCAGTGCCGTCCATACCGAGAAACGGATAGTAGTTCGTCTGGTCTTCCGCGATGGGGATAGCATGGAATGCCTTCGATAAGTCGATCTTCATGATCTCCTGGAGATCATGCCGCCCATGCGATCACTGGTCCAATCGCTTGCATGTTCGGGAACTTGCCATCGTCGTTCGTGCACGGATATAGGCATTGGCAGTTGTGCGTAACTCGTCTGCCAACTACGTGCGGGTTTAGAATGGCTTTCACCTCAGCTCTATCGACCTTCTCAATGGTGCGATCTTCAAGTCGATCACGTATCCATTGTTCATAGATCACAGCGTTCTCACCCGTAAAGCGTGGCTTGGTCCAACGAATCGTTGGATCCCCTGCTAGGTGTTCCGAAAACGCCGGTAACGTATGGGATTTTCTCCCCGAGCCCCTTCTTCTTCATTAAGCATCCGAGTTGATGCATAGTCATCACTCGTCATTACTATATTCGTCGACATTGGTGTTGCTTCGTCACCTGTCGATATATCTGAACCTGAATTAGCGTCTGGCTCGGCGTCTACCTCTTTATGACGCCTGCCTTCTTCCTATTTAGTGCCTTGAGACCAATTCTTAGTGGTCTCAGTATTCTTAACATAGCTACCTCGTCTGGGCTGATTCGTATTGCCCGCTGGGTACTTCTTCTTATACGTAGCGTTCGTAGCATTCTGCTTAGCCTGAGGTTTTGGTTTGCGTTCGTCAGGCCTCTTTCTTGAGCTTACGTTATAGACTCCCAGGGGTTTCAGAATCTGCCCGGTCTCGATACGATGCATGGTACCTTCTTTCCCATAGGCTATGCAACTCAATAAGATGTTGACTGATAAGTCATGTGATATCAGCCCTTGATCGATCAACTGGTTGATCTTTGCGATCAGCTTGTCGGAGTCATCGATCTCTGGGTCAACTAGAGTTCGATATTTTGCGTTGAAAGTGCATCATCCACCCAAGCGTTCAAATCCTAGGCAGTCCGGAAGCAACTATCTCGAAGTTGGTACTCCCAGCCGGATTGCTCG